TTTATAACTGTGTAAATACAGGTATGGGGTCAAGAGGTCATAGATGTGCGTTTGGATAAACGTTCGACGTAATTTCTCTGTGACGTCATAAAGGGTTGACGCGCGTTTAGTGGATTACATACATGCCGTTGGGTTTGAAAAATTAAGGCATTTCACACGTTAAAAGTAACAATCAGGCAAATATAAAGTATGAATAAGTCACAAATGTAAATATAAGTAATAAGGTATCATTTTTTGAGTTTTATTGAGATGTAAAACGGGTTGGTCACGTGATCAAATCCCATAAAGCCCGAAGGCACATGTGAGTAAATTTACATATGTGGTATGCAAATAAAGTCGTATGAATCGGGTACATGAAAATGTAACACTGGTCCACAAATGCTTACTATACATGTAGTTTGACCTTGAATTGAAAAGGTACATGTATCTATAAATAGAAACAGGTGATTTCCTTTAAATACTTGAGTCGGCGGTGTCTTCTGTAGGGCAGCTATTTTTATGCGCCCGAATCGATGGATCCCAGGCGTATATTGTTTTCGTGTCTGTTGTCAATTTTGACCTTCGACCTAACTTTTGAACCCTAAGAGATGAAGGCTTCATAAATGGTATACAAACTCGACTGATTAAGTTCTTTTATACAAAGTTGAATGCATTTGTGATTTATATGCTAAAAATAGATTTTTTCGAATGTTTACCTTAGGATGATGGCATTTGAACCATAGAAAATATACTTTATTTTCGGTCTGCATACTCCACTAATTAAGTTCTTTGAAATGAATCCAAGGTCAATGACCTAAATGATAAAATAGCTTTTTCCAAACTTTGTTGCCTCTGGGCACATTGTTTCACAAACATCTTTTTTTTTTGCCCCCAAATCGAAAGATCTTGAGGTATATTGCATTTGTCCTGTCTGTTTGTTGTCAATTTTGACCTAGCCCACAACTATCGAGTGGGTGGGGCTTTAACTTTTATATTTCACAAGTGTATTTCTTGTAACAAGACTTTCCTTTGGGTACCAACACCTTTGACCATGCCCTTTGGAGTTTGACATCATGACATGCATTTGAGAATTCAACCATCACCTACCATACTGGGGCATCCGAGTTTCACAAACACATCTTGTATCTTTTTATTAAAATTTCTTTTCATTATAAATCAATATTTCTCTCAACACTGTCTTCATATTTTCTCCAGATAGTAATAAATAACTCAAAGAAGCAATGTCCTGAAAGCCCACTTTATTTTGAGAGGGTACACTATTTAGTAGATTCTCTGTGATGGTGTCATGGTTCCCTTGATGTAGAGGGCGCGGACGTTCTGCCAGTTCTTCTTCAGTAGGGATACCAAGAAATTGATAGCCAGAGTGATGTTAGCATACAGCTCATCCTTGGGCATGTTGACATGTCCTACACAGGTAGCCAAGCACAACACCTGAAATCAAAAACACACAAATGGGTTTCTTTTAAAAAACTGTTTTATGATGTATACAATTTGTGTGCCCAACAACAAAACCTCACTTATCAGCTGCTTGTTCACCCCCCCCCCCCACCTTTAAAAGCTTTTTTTTTTTTTACCTGTACAACTTGCAGCCCAATACTGGCCATCTTATCTGCTGTTTTTTTTTTTTTTGCCTAATTTAGACATGTGCAAGGAGTATATATGATAAGAGCCAATTTTGGCCCCCTAAAAATCAACATTTTAGAATGACATTCAGATATGTTTTATTTATATTTATTTTGTAGAGGAGATTAAATGAGAAATATTTCCAATATATTTTTCACATTTCTATGCACTCACTGGCTGTAAATGACATGAGAAATAATGCTATTTTTGCTATTTAACAAAAAACCCCCCAAAAATGCCTTTTTCTTGATATTTTTTCTTATGGGAAACATAGAGCGCAGTGTAGAACATACATAATTTTTCTGTCACTAATTAGTATTGAAAAGATACATCTTTGGTAAAAATAGAAATCTTGTTCTAGGCTGCGCTCTATATTTTCTGAAAGAAAAACTGCTTGAAAATAAGCAGTTTTATACAAAATATGCTAAAATGGCGGGAAAACGTGATTTTTATGATGTCATATTTCTAAAATAACGGCATTTTGATCTAAATGAAAATGACCAATAAAGGTCGCATATATAGCTGTACAAATTAAAGCTATATATAAAGTAAAATTAAGATATCCATTTTAAGGGGCCAATTGAGACACTTACCATATATAGCTCTTTGTGTGCACATAACTGGCCCATTTATCAGCTGTGTTTACATTTTTCCAGCAGTTTTCAGAGCTGTAACATTTTATGCCCATTACTGGTTCTGACCCACTTGACAAGCGTCTGTATATTTTTTAAAGCCATTTCATTAGCTTTACAGTATACTGCAAGAGCACAAATTTTCGTGGGGATAAAATTTCGTTGATCTGTCATTAAAAATAGTTTTGTGGGCATTTAATTTTGTTGTTTAAAGCGTAAGCTTTTTCAATATATAGTCATATAAAATTTCGTGTGGGATTAAATTTCGTTGATAATTGTTATAACAATGAAATAAACAAAATTTAATCCCCCACGAATATTTGTGCTTTTACAGTATATACCTATAACTGGCCCGATTAACATCTATGCTTTACCTTTTTAAGCTGGAACTTGATGGTGGCCTTGATGTCCTCCACCTTCTGTACGAGTGACTCCTGGTGGGAGACCTGGGTGGGGAATTTTCCCACTCTGTTGAATCCTGGTCCGCAGATCTTAGGGATCTGCTTGATCAGGGAGTCTGAGGCCAGGAAAGCGTCGTATTTCTTTGCTGAAAAGAGAAACATACGCTACATAAAAACAATATTCTTCTTCCATACTTAGATTAGATGTACAAATCAATTCTTAGGAAATAATGCCTCTGTTCAAAAATGATTTTCATCACTGCAAGTATCAGGTAATACATGCAACTTCTGTTATTCTTCATTGGCAAAATTTGTAAATTTGTACTGTCATAAGTCGATACGAAATTATAAGTTTGCGTTGACAAAATAGAGCTTCTTACATACTTTTTTTCATTTTGCCAAACCTTAACAAAAAATGTTACTACAGGCTGTCAATTGCCTCTCTATGCTCAGTAAGAACCACTCCACAATTCTAAATACAATGGAAAAATTAAAATGCTGGTCAAGAGGAGTACCCCCCCCCCCCCCCAAAAAAAAATAAATATCGAGTCTTGGACTTAGTCATGCTAAGGAGGTTGAAGTGGCTAAAAATTATTTTTTTTATTAGAAAACTTCATTATTAATAACAGAGTCAGTGTAAGCATTTCATCATTTAGTAATATCTTTGCTAACTGTTCATATCTTCACCTTTTTAATTCATTCCGTGGTACAAACATTATTAAGCAAATCCACAAATTTTTAAATACATGTATATAGCTTTCTTAATTTAATGAATGCCTCTGATAAATGTCTCATCACTGCAAGCTTCAGATAAGCCATGCAATAAATATTTCTCTTCCTCGGCATGTTTTTTAATCTCTTTTCCTTTCCTCAAAATATTTACATTTCAATAACTACAGCAAGAAATAAATGCATTTCATTAATTACTGGTAGAAATTCCCTTATTCTGTTGAATTCCATACCCAGCTTTTTAATCAGCTTCTTGTCCTTGTTCAGTTTCTTGAGGTCGTCAGCGGTCATGCATGGCAGGTTGTTGGCCTTGGCCTGGTCACAGTGAATCTGGTCACCAAGGATACAGACCTTCAGCTTGGGGCGGGGAACATGCCTCAGTCTACAATCAAAGCAATCAAAATAGGTTGATATAAATTATAAAAACAGAGCATCTACCAATGAACACACTGCAAGTAAACACAATAGAATTTAATGTAAAAATCTGTAAATTCTGTTTCAATTTAAATTACCATTTTGTTTTTCTTATCATAAAACAGTCAATTTTCGACAGTGAAAATCACCATCTTCCCAGTTATTTCAAGACCCTGGGTCAAGGTCTTTCTTGTTTCCCTTGAAATAAAACAGTCAATATTTCGGCAGAATGAAACCTGCCTACCCAGTTGTTTTTAGACCCTGGGTGGGGGTCAAGTTAATTTACACCCTTCGTGATTTATTTTCATTCAGATGTCAAAACCGCTGTAAAGAAAAACATACATTGCCAATGAATTATGCATTTTACAGTTTTAATGTATTATCCATTTCAAATAAAAAGTTGGAAACAATTTTTCATTGTTTTATACCTGACTGTTCCTGCGAAACGTTTATCCTTTTGGGGATCATAGTTCTTCAGAACAATCTGGAGTTCTACTGATTCTGTGAACTTCCTTGGCTTGTCTTTTGAAGCTTGTAGGATGGCATCGATGGAATCGTTCAAGTTGTCACGGTTTATCTTACTACAATACACAAGAGGCTTAAGTTTAGTTATTGCACAACCATTATGAAACTGCGTTTTTTAAAATTTACTGAAAACTCCATTTTTTTTTTACTCATTAAAAGCAAAGAATTTTTTTAGCAATCAAATCAATGTTCCTTTGATGAAATATAATAATGCTTGTATATGACCATTCAGAGGAGATGACACTGCTGCCACCCCCCCCCCCCCCACCCCTATCTTTCTTTAAGGAGGTTTTCTAACCAACTATGAAATTTTTAATCCCAACAAATAATGGCCATCACCTTTTTCTTAAATATTAATTAAGAGTTATCCAACACAAATATTAAAGAATTAGATAATTTCCAACAATATTCCCTGTTGACTTATCAATCATGTTAGAAACTAAGTGTCCTATCCATGTAAAAATTAAATAATTAATCTTTTCACAGTGGTTAATTCACGATAATTTGATTTCAGAAAGATCTGTGCTACAAAATTATGCATAATTACACCTTCAAGTGGTGATGTTAACGTGATGATCTTGGATTTTTTAACTACGATTTTCATGTACCTCATTTTCTTTGCTCGGCGTGACGAAAGAGGAAGTCGAAAAGGAAGTCTCGAACAGATTTCTCGCACGTTGCGTGGTTTTGCGAGACTTCAGCCATAATTGTAATAGACAAAAAAGAAAGTACTAAACTACGATGCATTACACAGCAAATTTTGTGACATAAACTATATTTAGACCATTCTAACGATGGTCACTGGAGAAAATACACAAATGGTACCAACTGAGGTATGTTTTAGGAAGGTATAATAGTGTTACTACAGAAAGCAAAACATCGGAAAATAGTACCCGCCACTTGACATTTTGTCATAGATTTTCACGTCGATTGTATTGCACAACAGTTCAATATTTCTATCGATATCTCATGAAAGTTTGTAATTAAGATGAATTGGAGTGTGTTAGTAACAGATAGTGATCGTAGTTTTTGTTTTGGTTGTAAAACGTGATGGATGTGGTAAGTTAGTTCGAGTTTCCTCAGTTCTGCACTCTTTACTCCTCCAACAAATGTCAATTTATCGTGACTTTGAATAAATAAAACTATGTTTATTATTCATAATCTAACTATGGAAATTTAAGAGTCTTACTGTATATATGTAATATTCACATACGTGTTATTTCATCATCATTTTCCATTAATTCTTTGTGTACCAGGTCCAGCACAATACCCCGATAAAGGTATATAGCTTGACAAAGCTATATAGCTTAATCAAGGTATTTAAAATACCTTGATCAAGGTATTTTATGTAATGAAAATTCAAAAAAAATTCTTTAAAAATTAATTACTGAAAGTCGAGTTCTGAATTTTTGACAATGTGTCTATGCGTGCATGAAAAACACTCAGGTATCAAAAAGAAAGCATAAAATAATGTCTCCTCTTACGACACGTTTTTATTCTGATTTGTTTGTGTTTGAGTACTTTACATGCATGGGTGAATTTACTGACAACAACTCAGAACTCGACTTTCAGTAATTAATTTTTAAAGAATTTTTTTGAATTTTCATTACATAAAATACCTTGATCAAGGTATTTTAAATACCTTGATAAAGCTATATAGCTTTATCAAGCTATATACCTTTATCGGGGTATTGTGCTGGACCTGTGTACATCAAAACATTTCCTTCTTCCATTTTCATTTGGCATAGATCTCACAAAGTGATATCGCTACATGGCAAAACATTATTAGAATTTGACATGGAAAATTAATTTGTGCATTATAAAACGTTAATAACTAGGTTTTATTTCTATAAAGAAAAAAAAAATAAAAAAGGATAAAATATAATCTTTCAACAATGTTCAAGTTTTAGACAAAGATCAATCTTTACTGTTGAAACAAATGGGCATTATTTCATTGAGCTTAAGCAAAACCAACCACCAAGCTGAATTTTGAAATCCTTCAAAGGCATTAAATTTCAATATCAATTACTCCATTAGTCATTTTTACATTATCATGATTATAGATAATTTTTGAGTGGTTTCTAGGGTGATTTGTTTTGTTGGATTCATGAATAATTAATGAAAATGTAACTAAACTTAATGTCTGATTTTTACTCAAAACAGAAGAAACCTTAGGGGATGTCAACTTTGAAAAATTGGGTCGAAGTACATTATACATAATTTTTGTTTAAAGTGTAGAATGAGTCAACAACCTAATTTGATATGGCAATGAAAAAGAAGAAAACTTACGGGGAATGTCATTAACAATACAGTAAAACTCGGTTATAACAAAGTCAATTGGACCTATGAAATTATTTCCCTATATCCGTAATTTGTAATACATGTATCTGTATAAGAAATTCACTGAATTTATATAGCTGGGGATCCAAGATAAATTTGCTCTACCCATGCAGTGTTTGCCCTAAATACTGGCAACCGGCCAAATTTACCACTTCAATTGTCAAAAATGCCGCTTTGAAATAACAATTTGTTGTAAGGTCCACAGAGATTTTGTTCATAAACCTCATACTCTAGACTTTTACAACTGATCTCTAACCGTTTACTTTGAAATAAAAGTGTAATGGTTTGGGCCATGGATATCGGCCTGGATAGCTCAGTTGGTAGAGCACCTGACTGGAGATACAGGGGTCCCGGGTTCGATTCCCGGTCCAGCCATGCATTTTCTCCTTTCCTGTTGCAGATTTGGTGCCATTGACCACCCCTGGAATTGCAGGTGAAAGTCCTGCCAGGGGCAATAAGAACTTGGGTTGTGTCTTCGAGGGCGGAGACCATTTAAGGAGGGAGGAATGTAATGGTTTGGGCAGTGGATATCGGCCTGGATAGCTCAGTTGGTAGAGCACTTGACTGGAGATAAGGGGTCCTGGGTTCAATTCCCGGTCCAGCCATTCATTTTCTCCTTTCCTGTTACAAAAGGAAAACACTGCCCATGAATTCGCAATATTCGTGTTTGTACTAACCGGGTTTCACTCTGTTTATATCTGCTTACTGTTACTGGTGGTCTCCGTAAATGTATCATATATCCTGAATCCAGTGATTGAATATATAAACAAAAGTTTTATTTTTATACCTATAGAATGTCTGTGTGGCAGATGAAGAGAAGATTTTGTGTATTGTGCGTGACATGCTGGACACCCAGTGTCATGGGATCCGTCACACCATTAATTTACCAGCTTCCACCAGCATCAAGGACCTGATTTCACAAGTGGCCCAGCAGTTTGGATATGTAGAAGATACAATAGGTGTTACGTATGAGAAGCAAGTGGGAGCTGAAATTCACGAGGTAAGGATTTATGTCTGGTCATGAACTGAGGCAAAACACACTTATAAATTTTGAAGTATAAATGATGGCAAAAAAATTTGAATTGTTATATAAATAATTTATTATATCCTATAACTTCCTGGGATACATATTTAGATGACAGGATGTAAGCATGTATTCAGTGTGATCATTTTACATACTAGGGGTGGGACGATATACCGATACACCGATACATATCGATATTTTCCTCTAAGGTACGGTTTACGATACGAGCATTCAAATATCGGTACGAAACGATACACGAACGACCTATCCAAAAATTGAAAATGAAAGTATCTGTCCTTGAAAATGGCGGCCTGTACGAAGCGAAAAGATGGTGTTGATATTGAAAACACACTTTAGAACTGATAAGTCGTTGATTAGGGGTAATACATTTTCACTTTTAAGCAGCCTCGGAAGATTGGACAAGAAAAGTTCAGTGTGCAAAGCGTGCTATACACAGAAAAGTATCGTTTCCAGAACATTTGATATTATTAGTTGTTAGTCCATTCATACTTTTTTTCGTAATCTCAACTTGGGTACAGACATTCAGCAATAAATAATAATGTAAATGTGATTTTTTAATGAGCTTTTAGTCAGTGTTCGTTGATAAACTACACAACTATTTGTAAACAACTTGATTAATAGAAATTTGGTAATATGTACAATTGTCCTGTACTATTGTTTTTGTAAAGATTTAGTTAATGAAGTTGATGAACTTCAAGTATTAATTTCATAGCACACATGATTTGATATAGAATATTTTTTTGAGTTAATGTCAAGACAAAAAAATGAAATAAAATACTAATTCTTTTGAATAGTTTTATAATTTATCATATTGTGTTAATGTCAAGACAAAAAAAAAAATGAAATAAAATACTATTTTTTAAAAGTTTTATGATTTATCATAATATCGAGATACGTATCGTATCGTGCCAATATATCGAGATACGTATCGTATCGCAAGATCTGTGTATCGTCCCACCCCTATTACATACTGTATACAGGGTTATTTTCGCCCCGTGTTATTTTCGCCCTTTCACACTTGCAAACAATTTTGCCCCGTTTTAAATTCGCCCATTCATAGTTCTGCTTAAGAAATTGTGCTGTGTAATTTGAATTCGCCCCGTTTTAAATTCGCCCAATCAAGAAGAGGGCGAAATGGGAGAGAATAAAACGGGGGCGAAATTTTCCCTGTATACAGTATAATTAAGTCTCTCGACTGTATATTTTCTAACGTTCAGATAAACATGAAATATTCAATTTTGGAACATGTTATCTTGAAAATCTATTAGACAATATTGAACTGAAAAGTGAAACTTTTAAAAATTCAAGGGTGTATCTGGTGCTTTTTTAGTGTTTTACACATTCTTGCCCGCTCTGATAGGTGAGGCACAAACATATTGAAGAGTCAACACATTCACTTTACAGTCTGATGGTATGCTATATTTATGAAAAAAAAATTTTTACAGGTGAATTTGAATGAAAATGAAGGGAAGAAACTGTGTGATATTTGTTTAAATGGAATGAGGAAGCACAACTTCACCATCACCGAAAAAGAAGGAACCTTACCCCAGAAGACAGAGGTTTGAAATTTCATAAATTGTCATTAAATAAATTAAATTAAATGCATTTAAAAACCCACAAAATCAAAATCAAAACACAGGCAAGCTATGAGGAACATATAACGGAACATAAGTATTGGAAGTCATGCTGTATTAACCATGAAAATATATATATGTGCATCAACTTTGAAGACATCAAGAAGTCCTCCATTTTTTTCCCTTCTCCAAATGGATTTTAAAAATTTTGAAATCTGTAAACCAATTTAGAAAAAAAATTTGGCCTAAATAGAGAGTAGCAGCTGATTGTTTTAAAAATAAGATGAAACCTGCTTTAGATTGTTTATTTTACAGAATTTTATGTGAATATACATTTGTATTTTGTGTATAACACAAAGATTGACACTGATTTACAGAAATGAAAACGTCTAACTTTTTTCAGAGTGGGACCTCAGCTGGCACCAGCTCCTCCTCCTCCTCTGGTATATCAGGTGCCTCGGGGACCTCTTCCTCTTATTACAACGGGGCCTTGACCTCCACCTCCACCGATACCTGCTTCACCTACCCAGAGAGTTACTCCTACGCCACTGCTGTCATCAAGTCAGACACAGGTCAGATATTTTCAAAAGGAAAGAATGACTTCCTTTTTGTACATGTTCATGTGAAATGTAGAGTTATATCTTTTCTTTTTAAGTCCTAGTTATCAAGTTGTGGGATATCTGCCTTTTCTCTTGACCCTTTTCATTTAATTTTTAATAGCCTCATATCTTGGTCATAAGATCCTTTTTGCGTAAAGCTTAATTTGTATGTGGATTTCTAAATGTTTGCCTAGGAGATAGGTCAGTGAATGGGAGTACAGGATATCTTTACAAATTGAAATAAAGGGTGGTTTAAGAAATAGAAACTCCCCGAACACACGATTGAGGGGGGATACCAAATAGCCTACAGGGTGTGTGTGTGTTAATGTCTAAAAGTGTCTTTATAGGCAGTGAAAATCTCCTTTCCCCAGATGTTGGAGACAAATATGGAGTTAATAAAACGAAAAAAATCAAAGCTTTAAATTTTATTTTTAAATAATCCACATGGGCTATATTTAATTTTATGTGTACATGTAATTTTATCCTTTTTGCACAGCCATTTTTGTATACAAACAATTTTTCTGTTTTCCATTGCTAGGTTATGTTGGATTGGTGAACCAGGCCATGACCTGTTATCTTAACAGCCTGCTCCAAACTTTGTACATGACACCAGAATTCAGAAATGCTGTTTACAGGTAAGGGGAAGACTTTCAGATGCTAATTGTGTTTCAGATAATATTACATATGAGGATAGCTTATACATGTACATGAATTTCTTAATTTCACAAGGACAAATTTCAAACAAGTTTTACACAATCATCTTTTTAAAGGAAACTCATGTATGAAGATTAGAGTCAACTTTTCTATGATGCTTTCATATAAAATTATAAAAGAATACTGTATCATTTTGTGGCACATATGATGCCAATATATAGGTTGTCATTTAAATGATAAACTACTGGGTTATTTTGGGGGGGGGATAGAAAATTAAAATAACCTACTGTGTAAGTTGTTATGCATTGAGAGTTTGTCATAAAATTGCTTGGTTTTATAAAAAATAATTTACTTCTTTCAGATGGGAATTTGACGGAAGAGAGGAGGACATGGCCAAAAGCATTCCCTATCAACTACAGAAACTGTTTTTATTGCTTCAGGTATATTTATTCCCAAAATTCTTTAAAAAATAGTTTTAAAGTACCATAACATCAGTGGGGTCAATTATTAGTATTAATAAGAGAAAAAAAAGAAAAGAGTTACATGTATCAATTAAATGTTCACAGGATATTTAATATGGAAAGAATTTCCATTTTACAGACCAGCAAGAAAAAAGCTATAGAGACGACAGACTTGACTAAAAGTTTTGGCTGGGACAGCAGTGAAGGTATATAACCAATATAATAGAGATTTCTAATGAACCCCCCTTCTTTTTATTTTTTTTCTCTCTCTTCATCTATCCTTCCCCCTTTCTTTGTCTCCACCCCTCTCTACCTAAGCTCTCTCTGCTGAAACCATCAAGATGGGTAGAGTGTTTTCTTCATGTTTGAGGGTATGTTAAGTTTAACCACTCATCTTATCAAGCTTCTGACTTTAAAGTGTGAAAAAAGATTATTTTGCCGAACTAATGTGCAAAGAAAGATATGGCTTATTCATGTGTGACCTTGAAAACCATCCACTGGCATGCAGGTGAAAGCAGTGTCGAGAAGTCTTAACACACTGACTTGATTCCATAGTCAAGGTCAAGATCCATGAATTTATTCAAAATGGATGTTTTGATACAAGTGAAATGTACCTAACTGGATAATACATCTCACTATTATTGTGTATTTTAAAACGTATCACATTCTTTTCATTTTGTCATACTGCATGCTCATTTTGATCCTATGATTTGTTCTTTATAACTATATAGGTTTTACCATGAATTAAACATTTTATATTAATAAGTAATTATATCAGATAATCTAATTTTTAAGACATACATGTAAACTAATGTTGTATTAGATATTCAGGGCTTTTGTAAAGTATACATATTTCACGGTAATCTTTGCAATTGAAAATACATCCACTTTTTAATAAGCCAGTATTTAATCCTTAAATGTTTAGTATTAGTATGATGTATTGTTTTTCTTCAGTGTGGCAGCAACATGATGTACAGGAGCTGTGTAGAGTTATGTTTGATGCACTGGAACTGAAATGGAAGAAGACAGACCAGGCCAATCTGATCAACAACCTGTACCAGGGAAAACTGAAAGACTACGTCAAGTGCCTCGAGGTCAGAATCTCTGCCATGAATTTATCCGGTTGTTTTCTTCTTCCTTTGAAAATAAACTCCAACTTGTAAAGGGTGTTAAGAAAGTTCGTTCCACATTTTTCTTTTATTTCCGGAAAGTGATACGATGAGGAGAATTTAACAATTTGTGAAATTTCATGTTTACAGAGTCCTTTCTTGCTACCGATAAGGTTTTACCTGTCTTTTGTTGAATCAATAAGGGGAGGGCAGGTATTAAAACAGATGATGTCCGTTCAGAAAAATATAAATATGACGCACATTTGTGACATATATGAAGCACACAGGTCAAAACATCCTTTCAAACACTATGCAAAAAATATCAAATCCGTGAAAAATTTCAAGATGACACACCTATTCTTTTGAAAAATGATCTATCGTTCTTATACCTACGCTCACCAGCTTGTCTGATGCAGGATAAGCTATAGAGAAACAAACGTAAGTTATCCTTTATTTTCACGTAAAATGACCAGTATTTCTATCATTCGGGTGTTTTAAAGATGTTATATATATTTTCATATGGAAGAAAAATCCTATAATTTCCTGCTAGAAATGAATTGCTTTAAATCTAAAGCACACTCTTGTTATTTTTTCAGACTTGAAAATTCATCTCTTTGGTTAAGCACTACTTTGAAATTTTTGAAAATATTTCATCATGGAACGAACTTTCTTAACACCCCTTAGATGTTCTTCTTATACAGTAAAAGTTGTTTAATCTGGACACCACAGGTTCCATAGAGATAGGTCAAATTAGATAAAATTTTAGATTAGACAACATTTTAAACAATTCAATTTACAAAAAGTAACTAATATGTCATAATAGGTAAGATTATGAATTTATACTAAACTCTGGATTTAGACAAATTTCACTGTACATCTTAAACAATTGTATTTACAACAGTGAGATTGATGTTTTCAATAGACATGTACATGAAGTGTCATCTTAAAAACATAAATTTTTGTTGTTGGTATAATACCAAAAAACTCTTGAAAAGTGAAATTCTCTGTTTATTTTAGATATCTCTCTCTCCTTTCAAAGCTATTTTAAGTGACATGTGTTCATTTGTTATCTGTATTTTCAGTGTGGGAATGAGAGTGCTCGGCTAGATACATATCTGGATATACCTCTAGTCATCCGACCGTTTGGCTCCAATGAGACTCATGGGAGTGTGGTAAGTACAGCAATGTACATTTGTAAACTCCTGAATATTTGTGGGAAAGTAATTATCTTGTAATTTCCTTTTTAAAAGCACAACTCACAAAAGAAAAACATGATACTTCTATTTATGTTGCTGAAATCTTTATAAAATCTTCAGATCAATTATCTTTTCACAAATTATTAACTTTGGAAATAAAAGGGAATGTCAAAGTGTTAAATTGCTGTGTTAAGTGCTTACCAAAAAATAAGAAGTGTACATTATACTGTAAATCACTTAATTTTGGTGACACCTTATTTTCGTGAGGTAGTCATTGACTTTTTATTAGCGAGACAACATTTTCACGAATTGTGGTCATTGCTCTATATAATCTTAAGGAATTCTATTATACGCGAGAATAAAATTTAAGCAAGAATACTGTCTTGCTTAATTACGCGAAAATAAAGTTCTTACAAATAAAAAGTGATTTACAGTTCAATAATTTACACCCTACTGGCACATACTGTACATTCATGCAGATTTTCAGGGTTTAGAGTCCGAGATTTCCAGGAAAAAGTTTACTCCTTCAATAGTTATTGAAAGGAACACATGTTTCACTGCCATTATTGTAAAATTGACTGTATACTGAAAAAATACTGAACAATTAATTTTTTTTTCAGGATGAGGCCCTACAAGCTTTCGTAGAACCTGAAACATTAGATGGAAACAACCAGTACTTCTGTGAAAAGTGCAACAAGAAATGTGATGCCCATAAGGTATTCATGACGTTAAAATCAATTTCTTAAAAAATGAGAATTCTACTGCTTTCTTAAGAGAAAACAAGTATTGGTTTTATTTGCTAATGCACAATTACTTATTTACACTGAGTACATGATTGAGTACATTTTATATTGAAAAACTGCAGTGCTAGATTCACAACAGTGCCTATTGATTTACATGTATATGAGATATTTCTGTATCATTTTATCAATAGCTTTACTTCATTTCAGGGTCTCAAGTTTGTTTCCTTTCCCTACATGTTGACACTGCAGCTGAAAAGATTTGATTTTGATTACTCAACACTACACAGAATTAAGTTGAATGATCGGTAAGTTCTTATTTTCTTTTGAAGATAACTAAATGTTGAAAACTACAAGAATCTTGATATAGGATTCATGTTTTTAGACGTCATGTTTTTGCTTATTTTCTGATGATGTAAAAGTTCATTGTATTTGGGAGTTCATGGTTTTAAGAAGTCCTGTTGTTCATTTCAGAATGTCTTTCCCCGGGGTTCTGAACTTGAACCATTTGATTGAACCAGAACACAAAGGTTCAGAGGAGTCTGCCACAAGTCACACTCTGGAAGAGAGCAGTGATGAAGGTAACCTAATTAGATTAATAATAAGACAAGTAATTAGAATTAGAAGTATGATTTAACCATACAAGTATTTGATAGAGCAGGAATTGTGATTTTTATGCTGTAATGTATGTCATGATTTTAGACATGGTTTGTTTAATGGAGATAAGATTTGAAAAATGATGTGTTCTTGAAATTGCTTATACATGTACCACTTTTCTCTCGCCACCCTCAAGAATTGTCTGCACTAATCATCAAATGGGGAGGGATTGTTAAAGAGGGTGGGTGGCTAAATTCAAATTATGTAAATCGGAGGCTTTTCGTATATGGATTGATATTAAAATTCACATATGCTAAATTACCTTAGATAGGAACATAAATAGATAACCAACATGACAGGGACCTCCTCAAAAAATTCAGCAATTAAAGGGTATGTTAACGATAAAAATGCCAAGACTGCTGGAGCCAAGGTAACTAGAGAAAGAGTGTCATAGAATGTAAATATCTGTAGTTTCAAGTGAATTTAGAATTGATATTCTTCGAAGATATTGTGTGTGTGCGAGTTTTTTTTTCCGGATTTTGCTGTTCGTTTTTTTTGTATCTTTTATATATATACTAATTTGCTTGCAACACGCGTTGTGATTGGTTGTTTATTTCAATGAAGGGTTCTTTAACCAATGAAAAAACAGGTAACATCGAAGACATTTAAACATGGCATACACATGTGGAAGGAAAACCAAATCACAAGTGTGGGACCTACTTTCACGTGATGTGTGTGAATTGTTTGAAACAAGATAACTCTAGTCAATAACTTTATTTATTTTATTTTATTTTAAAGAGAGAGTTTATTACTTTGTTATTTTTTGTTACATTTAACAACTTGTTCTGTTGAATAAAATGGATAGAAATTTATGTCGGCAAAATAGTACTTTCTACAATGTCCTTAATCCTTATTATCCTTTGATATATATAAAGATGTTTTATTTAAATTCTCAAAATGAAAACCGAACCGAAAAAACCGAAAACCGAGAATTTATTTTCTGAACCGAACCGAAAAATGTCTGAACCGTGGCAGCCCTAATCTGTAGCGATAGTGAAAAGTTTGGACGTCTTCATGTCTGAAACCCATTTTGTGAGATTTTCATCATTCTGGGCTGTTGTACATGTATTCATAAAAATTATGCACTGTAATAAAGCTTAATTTTGAAAATTTAGTGTATCTCATTTGCATGTCTTAATAATGAAAAAAAACTTTATAAATGTTATAATTTATTTCCAGGGTCCCTATGTGTATGAGCTGTTTTCTATTATGGTGCATTCAGGAAGTGCTGCTGGGGGACATTATTATGCCTACATCAAGTAAGATTTTTCTAAGTTACAATCAAACCTTGTTATGTGGAACTCAATGGAACCAATGAAAAACTGAGAGATATCTAAGAATTTGAGATATTGAGGAAAAGATACAAAGTTACTCTGACTTCTTGATGACTATAACATACATGTTTTTATAGTATTCAAGATGTCAATGTTCAAGAAATCAAAGTTAAATGATAGTTTACTTTTGCTCAGACAAGGTTTCCAAATGCTTTCTTAAAATACTAATATTTTTTTATTTCATAAAAGTATTCTTCTATTCTGACTTTTTTTTAAAGAGATCTGATTCAACCTTTGTGTTCCTTGTTTGCAGGTCTTTCAAAGACGGACTGTGGTATAGTTTCAATGATCAACATGTCTCAAAGGTTTGTATCTTAAGCAATCATTAATCTTCAATGACATTGGGTCACCTTTCTCTGTAAAAATTTGAAACTTTACATAAATACCATATAAGTGGGTATTTTAGCAGGACAGAATTTTAGCGATTTTTCCTTAAAAATTGGTATTTTATTTTTAGCAAGATGTAATTTTAGCGATTAAAATAAGTTTGCTTTAGAAGCTTTTACAAATAAAGCACACTTAATTTTTAGTGATATTCAATTTTAGCTATCTTTGCACCCTCTCTAATAATGCCAAATTTAAATCCGCGCATAAAATTCTGCTTATACGGTATTTTATATATTCACCAATTTGATATAATTTTTGTTGTGTTTCAGATAACGAATGAAGATATAAATAAGACATATGGTGGATCCAGTACATCCAGGGGCTACTACTCCGCAGCCTACACAAGGTAAGAAACACAATGAAATTTAGAGAAAAAAAACAAAGAGGATCTAAAATGATCTTTAAGTATACATGCAATGCTCTATATCCTTTTCTTTGTCCTTTATAAGAAAGTGTCTTATTTAAAATTCATGTATTTTAATATCAAATTTAAACAAACCAATTTGAATTTTATGTTTAATTAAAGAATTTCAGCATCTAATTTGCATGTTCATTTCTGAAAGGGATCACTTAAATTTGCTATCTTATATCTTTAGTTCCACCAATGCCTATATGTTGATGTACAGACAGATTGATAAACAGAGAAATAAAGGTAATTCAGCAATTATTATATCTGTATCTGAATTTTCATTTTTAATTAGGGTATCCTGTAGATTCTTCAGTTTGAATGGAATGATACCTCATTATAATGATCATTGATTTTTTTTTACCAGATTTCATACAACCAGAGAATTTCCCAGAACACCTCAAAGAAGCGCTACAAAAAATAAAGGATCGAGAGGAACAAGAAATCCGCCAACGGGAACTTGACAAATCTACCTGCAAGGTATACACAGAAAGGAATTTGATACATTTTGAAAATTATTAATTTCAGTGACTTAACAATGTGGAAAAAGAATATTTGTACAATTATTCGTACTCAAAACATGAGCATAATTTAGCAGTTGAACTTTGATCTTTCAGAATATTTATAAATGCTATACAAAATGTAACAGTCAATTTTGTTTCACCTTCCTTATTTCAAAATATCTGATACATTGTCCTTTTTCTGGGATCTTGCCAAGTGAACAATCAAAATTAATAACTGTTAAAATAGATTTTTGTATCCATAGTGTGTATGTGTATGTTTGTACTTATTTCATAATCTGTGTTTACAGATAAAGGTGTACTACTTTCATCCACGTGAGAAAAGAAAAATGGAGCAGAAGTTGGAAGTTCATAAAGACAAGACACTGAGGGAGGCTACAGAGATGTGTGCTAAGGTTGGCTGTAAATCCTTCTCTGTCATAAAAAAAAGAAACAAGTGAAAAAAACAAACTGAAAAGCAACCAAACAAAGAAGCAAAAAAAAAAACAAAAACAAACAAACAAAAACAAAACAATATCGTCCTAGAACTCTCATAAATTACAAAATAGAAATAAAAAAGTCTATTCTCTTTGGCAAATCATGCTAAGTTTTACTATAATTATTAATACCTGTAGATTCTCAACTTAATTTTGTAGGTGATTTTTTTTTATTGTGTTTTAAAATGCAATTTCAATCTAGAGACAAGTTTTCACACTTTTTTCATCTTTATCATATAAAGCTCAGACTTAAATTAATTTTTTCACAATTTTTCAGCTGTTCTGCATTGATAAGTCTATCCCTCTGGACTGCTGTCGCCTGGTGAAGTTTGACGAGTACCAGGACACGCTGGAGTGCTCCTTTGAGGATGAGGAGGATACACCCATGGGTCTGTTACTGGGAGGGGTGAAGCAGGCCTACAACTTTGACCTCCTCCTAGAAACAAAGCGACCAGAGCAGGTGTTTCAAGAGTACAGGCCTGGAGGTTAGTGGGGTTATAACATTCTGTTAAATGTTTGGGTTTTTTTCACAGTAAATTTTTTTAAATTAAATCTGCTAGCATTGTTTGAATGTTTTTGTCAAAACAGGAAGATTGTTTGAGGCAGCACATAGAAAAGATTTGCAAAGATTTTGTGGAAATAAATGTTTTGATTTATCATTTATTTCTTTTGTGAAAACTTTCAAAATCAAATTTTGTATACAGTCACATAAATACTTAGCTTAGTGTTATTCAAAGATTATGTTCTAAAACAGTAAAGATGCAAAATAATTCATCTATGATGAGTATAATTGACACCATTTCTCAATATTTAGGTGTGACGGTGAAATTGTATGTGGCTGATCTACAAAATGACATCATCCAGGAGCCACCCATTAGTGTGAGGGCCTACCACACTCAGACTGTGACAGAGTTCAAACATATGGTGGCAGAGGTGAGTAACAATTAAGAAAAAAGCATTTTATCCAAATGTTTACGAAACTAGCAATCATCTTTCATATGAGACAATGGAAAGAAGGAATGTCATATGTTCTTGAAATGTAGCTTAGCATTGGTAGCATTTCTTGCCTTTGTAGTGTAAATCTGACATAAGAAATTTGATTTTCAGGTTTTGGGTGTCTCAGCAGCTCAGATGAGATGTGTTCTGGAAAGGTTTCACAATGACCTCAAATTTTTATCTGTCCCCAACAAAACACTGAAAACAGAGGGCTTCTTCAAAAGCAACAAGGTGAGTTATACAATATTTGTTTTTCAAAATACTTAAATAAACATATTCAGAATATTTAGCAGTGCAACATTATTTTTTGATAAGTATTTAGGAATTCAAAGTAACAAGCTACCAATGCAGTGAAGAAAAATTGGGTAGAATAAATTAAATTGTCATAACTGCATAATCTTTTAAATTTATACATTCAGTAGTAGATTTAATACTCATTCTCAATGTACATATATATGTGTCTTTGTAGGTGTACGTGGAGTATTCCGGGGAGGAGGACACCACACATTTTACAAACACCCACTTCTTCCGATTGCTGGACCGCCACCAAAACACCATCAGGATTCATGTCAATCTGCCCTCTACATGTTTGTAGCCAAGCTTAATAATTTTTTTTAACTCTCTTTCTGTCACTTCTACAAAATATTTATGTATAGAATCTTTTAAGATGTACACATTGGCTTGATTATCTGATTTGATATACTCGTTTAACATGACTTGTAACACAGTAAGTGTAGATTTGTAGAAAGTATATGAAATATAGAAAAGCTTTGCAATGGTGTTTAAACCACAATCATGAGTGAGGATTTTCTTTTTTCTAGAAATTAGCAGATTATATAAACATTTCATTTCTTAATGTGAAAATTCATTTTTCAGCTGATGTAGAGGATTTCCTGAAGTCAAATTCAAGACATGAACAACTATTGAAAAATGCCATAACGAATGCGAAATCCAGAGAGGACAGTTCTACTTCATTGGAAATCAGAAGTAAAAACGGAAGTGACTCCTTAGACGAGGGAATAAGTGACAGAGGAAGTGATAGTGAAATAGATTTCAAACTGAAGAAAACGACACTTTCCAAAAGTGACCCTTCAATTTACCACAGCTGTCAATCAATTGACAATGGGCGTGTCAGTCCCCTTGGCTCCGCCTCTGAGGGCAGGGCCAGTAGTCCCATTGGACACAGTAGCAGTAGTCAGGATACTAGCACTAGTGCTGAATTCAGTATTCCATCTAGTTACAGGGGTTTGTGTAATATTTCTGATGGACAGGACGAAGCGGCGGACAGTGTTCTTGGAGATTTAAACAGTCGGGAACCAGTGGAGCACGGAGAAAGTGATTCGGAACAGACAGCCCCTCCCTCCCCAGGGGAACGAGTGATCAATGACACAGATTTTAAAACAGAGGAGAATTGGGATTCAGACTGTGATAATGATGTGACGATTACAAAGGAGGAGGCTTCTAAACGTTATTTTCACATTGTTCACAATGAGTTGGATTTGTTATCGAAACAAAGAAGTAAGGATTCAGGTCATTTATTTTGAAATTAACATGTGCATGATATTTGTTTATGTGAGGTTGCACAGAATTTGGAATATTATTATGCCCCCCTTCGAAGAAGGGAGGGCATATTGCTTTGCTGCTGCCTGTTGGTTGGTCTGTCTGTCTGTCCACTTAGTTTCCGTTCATTTTCTATACAACCATTGCACATACTGAAATGAAAGTTACTATTCAGATACATGTATATCAGATGAATATCTAGGGCAAGTTCTGTTTTGGGTACGGTTGTGCCATTTTTGACAGAGTTATGCCCCTTGGACTTAGAAAAACTCCAATTATTTGCAGTTTCCATTCATTTTCTTTGAAGAGGATTTATTTTCTGCCATCTACTGTATTTATGAATTTCACATTATTTTTTTACTTCACAAAAATTCTTCCATTTTTAATGAAAGAAATTTTTTTAAACCAGTACAATTTTCTGTCAAACTGAGAGCCATTTGATAGACATGATCATGATTTTAGTTTTTGTCAAGAGAGAAAAAGAAATATGAGTTGTAATGATACAGTTTAAAATTTGCATCAATTTTTATCTTTGAGAATTTTTTTAACTTATAAAACATCACAAATTTGATGGTGCATGTCTGACAAGAAAGAAATAATGAGTTCTATCAATTGTTATGAAGTTTAGTATATATATGTTATTTCTTTTCTTTCAGATTTAACAGTGCTTGTTGATAAACGAATTACACTTGGGGCTTTCAAGAAGGAGTTAGAACCTCATGTAGGGACGTCTTCAGATAACTTTAAGGTAGCTCATCTTTTGTGATGTACAATAAAAATAAAAGAAAACATCCATGCTCTCATTCCACTTTATCTAGTGGACTAAAAAAATAAACAGTAGTGTTATGAAGTACAATATCTTAGAACAGATCTTTTGTCCCTTATAAAAGTATAATTAAATAGGTACTTTTTTATACTTATTAATCCTACTATTGACTAGGCTACATGTACATCTGATATAGTCAATTTTAAACATGCTTAAAGGGACATGTATAATTATTATAAGATCATGTGTTTATCATTAGTTGATTCAGTTTCTAACTGTTTTCCTTATATTTTCCTATAGGTGTATCGTGTGTACTCAAATAATCAAGAGTTTGAAAGCATCAGACTAACTGAAACTCTTTCATTCTTTGAGGATGGAAAGGTAAGGACATATATGCACCAATATAATTTTTTCACATGTGTGATGATCACGATAATTAGGACTGATAGTGATAGATTTCATATAATTCATGAATATTCATGATACACAGGGGAAATGCACTTTGAGAAGAGATTTCTTGAGAGAAATGTATATGAAAGAAATCTATGAGATTTTAATCAGATATAATTTCACAGGCAGTGATTTGGTTACATTTCAAGTTATTGTGGTTCATTTCAGTTGAATATCAAGCTGGGAAGAGCTTTAAAACCAGGAGAATACAGGGTCAAAATCTACCAGCTTCTTCTCAATGACGCAGAGGTAATGGGATGTGAAAATCAAGTTTTATAAATGTCATTTCTAGAAGAAAAAAAATTGTACGAGGGTTGTCCCAACATTTTGTAGACTGAGCTCATATCTTTGAAAGAAATTAATGTATCTTTATAAAATTTTCAGGGTAGATAAAGCGTGTTCTTGGCAGATAGATTACGAAGTTTGATCATGTTTAGTTGAACACTTTTCGAGTAATAACATATAAAGTGATGTCGTTCTCTAACACCCGGAGCAATCTGCAACGTCAAAAAATACAAATGTCAACGGTTCAAATTTTTGGAGAAAATACTTCAATTACCAGAATCAAATTCTTAAATTAAATGAAGCGGTTATAGTTATAAATGTGAATTATCTAAATAACTATGATATGATCAAACATTAAAATATGTAA